TATATGGGAAATATAACAACATTTAAATTTTCAGATTTATGTGATAAAAAACGTCTTATATTTGTTTGCATTTGATAACAAAATTAAATTAAACTCGCCTTAACGTTTAAATTATCTCGCCGTGGCTAGTAAAAGTAAAAACTTCTGATTTTTTTGAAAAAATACTCTTCATGAAATGATACCCATTTAAGATTCTACATATCCTTCATTGAAAACAGGGATTACCATGGTTTCATACCAGTAATTTAATTGCAGCTTGCGGTATTTAAAAAAATTAAAATGGTTAAACAGTGAAAACTACGAATTTTATTCAATCAAATAATAATGCATTATATTTCTCCGTTGTCGTAGACTTCGATAATTCCTTAGCATTACTGACAAGTCACAGAGGGACAATGTATTCATATAATGCAATAAAGTTTATTCTATATTATAATTTATAATTATGTACATATTTGTTGTACAATTCCTTAAAATATATCAGTATTAGTTACTGTCTGTTTTAAAGTTTTCGGATGGAAGTAATCAGGCCAACCAGGTTTGTTAGGATGTATTGGACGAAACCATGGAACGTCTCCTGTGTGTATGTTGATGGAGCGTTTTGTAAAGGTGTTTTCATGATGAAAATGGTAACTGTGATTTCATATGTAGTTTTAATGCCGATTATTGGAAATACGAAAACATGAAATGATTTCGAGTTTTACCTAACTTGTTAAACTTTAGATAAGTGCACCTTAAAACTCGACTTCAAACTGCTGTATGATGCAGTTTTGGCTCTATTGTATCTAACCATTGAATATGTTTGAAAAGATGCGATTTTGTTGAGTTAAAACAAAGTTTTTGGTACAGTATAGAAATGATGTTATACTTATTACTTAACTATTCACATCTGTATGGGTTTTCAAGTGTACACTGAAGTGGACAGAATCTGGTTAATACTACAAAAACAAGCAGAGCGACAATTGCAATATCTAAACCCTTTTATAGCTTAGATATCGTTAGATTGCTTGATATCATATATTATGGATACCTTTTTATGTGCCTATATTCATGAATGTCTATGTATCATGGTTAGTATGCATATAAATAAAAGTGTTGTAGAGATGTAAGACCGATACCGTGCAATTAATTAACGATTCTATATAACGGTAGCGGGACACGAAATGAGGTGTGTCTTTATATTACTATACTTGCATATTATAGACGCTCTCTTTCGCGGCGAATTTTTTCACATGAAGTTTTCAGCAATTTCCTTCGGCGAATCTCCGTTAATATAATCTACTCCGATCGTGTTATCCGCCCGTCTTTGACGGTCTTCATAATGGTCTGATTGAGAAATATTTATTTCTTTGTGCGATATGAAGCTGGACGTGTTTGATGCTCGTTAGTTTGTCTGGTGTACGTTGTTCCTATTCGAGAATGGTGACATTACTTACTTGGATTGGCCAATGTTTACATGGCGGGTGTGGTTGATGAAGTAGAAGACGCTTACTCTTCCGGAACATGTAGTCTTATTCTCCTTATACCTTTTCAGGAGTCTCCGTGTAAATCTTTCTTTTGTTCTTGTTCTGTCTTAGTTTTAGTGAATTAGAATTTGGATTAGGATTGTATTGACATGTTGGTATTGTTCTCTTGTTTTAGCAAAGATAAACTTTTCCGATTTTGTTTCGACCGAGAAATTAGCGAGAGTAAATTTTTCATTTCAAAATATCTTATTGTCATAGCTTTCCTGACAAAAGAAATTGGGTAACAGACATAGCCAGAAAGTCCTTTCCTTGCTATTATAAACAAATAACGACAGTAATAAATACTAACAGTTTTAGTGGAAATAATATCACTCCATGATTGGGACAAGGTACAGCCCGAAAGTCAACTCGAATGGAATGCATTACAGGTATATTATCCATACATATTCATATCATTGTACTAAATCCACACAGATAACAAGCAGACAAAAATCTGACACAACAATGTATGAAGAGAATGTATGCTTAGAAGACGTCAGGCATCAGTAATGAATCTCTGAATAGATTCAAGAATAGAATTATTTGTAACTGTACCTAGCTCATGGCAACCATTTAGAAACGTTTATATGTTTAGAGGAATACGATCGCTCAGGTCCTAGAGAGAAGTAAAAAGGAATCTTTGGTTAGTGATAAGAGGACAATGGAGAAGTGAGAACAATCTTTAACAGGATGATCACAGGTACGGACAAGGCTATTGATTAAATCGGCGTTCATGCAACAAACTGAATTTCCTAACTGACATAAAGTTATATTAATTTTCCTATCTCCATTAACTTTAAAAAAATAAGCACACTGGTGTTCGGCATCTGCAACAAGTTGAAATAAAACTTCTTTATTGCACTAATGGACGACATTGTGGGAAACAGACAAGATGGGTTATTCCATTCAGACTTTAATTGTGAGAAGAAACTGGTAATATATATTTGAGTTCTTGCTAGAGGAAGATCAGAAGTCTATTATGACGGAGAGGATATTGATCAGTATTATTATTGATGTAAATTTGAATCGAATCACAAACATGAGCAGGCCATATATTGTTAAAAAATCTAAAAGATAAAATATTTTGATGAAGGTGATGACTTTTTACAAGTGGAAGTTAACCAGATTTTCTGTATGAGATGTGATGACTTGTTCCCCGTCCCAAGCCGGTAATTATACGTATTACCTTTGCCTGTAAGTTTGCCAGTTAAGATCTGAATTCATCTATGACCATTTGCTGTCTCCTATCAATTAGGTAAGATGACAATTACTTCAACATGTTGTTACCAATGCCAGGTTTTTTCAATTTACTGATCAGACCATCATGCCAAGTCCTATCAAAAGCTTTACTAATACCACAGAATCTTTACCTTTGTCCATATGTTAACGAATTTCGCCATAAATGATTTCTTTAATCTTGCTAAATGGGAGTGACAGAGATAGGTCTATAGTTGGATGGTCCCCTATTTCACACTTCCTTTTGAATGTTGGTGTTACATAAGGAAGGGGATTTTCGTAGAGAGAAAGATTTTCAAAGATAAATAGTGGCGTCACAAGAGAATGAGCAACCCCTTTAATGAAGTTGGGTTAAAAAGTGTCGGGACCAGCAAGTTTGTTAGTATTTAGAAGATTAAGTTGATCAATAACGTCCTGTTCTGTTATATCGATTGACGAGAAATTACTTCTAGATAGAAGAATCTTCTAAAGAAACGGGAGTAAATCACACGCATAAAATAAAGATGATGATTAAATATTTAATTATCACATTGCGGCAGTTGATTAAGTATCTAGTTGTCACATTGCGGCAGTTGATTAAGTATCTAGTTGTCACATTGCGGCAGTTGATTAAGTATCTAGTTGTCACATTGCGGCAGTTGATTAAGTATCTAGTTGTCACATTGCGGCAGTTGATTAAGTATCTAGTTGTCACATTGCGGCAGTTGATTAAGTATCTAGTTGTCACATTGCGGCAGTTGATTAAGTATCTAGTTGTCACATTGCGGCAGCTGATAAAGTATCTAGTTGTCACATTGCGGCAGTTGATTAAGTATCTAGTTGTCACATTGCGGCAGTTGATTAAGTATCTAGTTGTCACATTGCGGCAGTTGATTAAGTAACTAGTTGTCACATCACATTGCGGCAGTTGATTAAGTATCTAGTTGTCACATTGCGGCAGTTGATTAAGTATCTAGTTGTCACATTGCGACAGTTGATTAAGTATCTAGTTGTCACATTGCTACAGTTGATTAAGTATCTAGTTGTCACATTGCGGCAGTTGATTAAGTATTTAGTTGTCACATTGCGGCAGTTGATTAAGTATCTAGTTGTCACATTGCTACAGTTGATTAAGTATCTAGTTGTCACATTGCGGCAGTTGATTAAGTATCTAGTTGTCACATTGCTACAGTTGATTAAGTATCTAGTTGTCACATTGCGGCAGTTGATTAAGCATCTAGTTGTCACATTGCGGCAGTTGATTAAATATCTTGTTGTCACATTGCGGCAGCTGATAAAGTATCTAGTTGTCACATTGCGGCATTGATAAAGTATCTAGTTGTCACATTGCGGCAGTTTATTAAGTATCTAGTTGTCACATTGCGGCAGTTGATTAAGTATTTAGTTGTCACATTGCGGCAGTTGATTAAGTATTTAGTTGTCACATTGCGGCATTGATAAAGTATCTAGTTGTCACATTGCGGCAGTTTATTAAATATCTTGTTGTCACATTGCGGCAGCTGATAAAGTATCTAGTTGTCACATTGCGGCAGTTGATTAAGTATCTAGTTGTCACATTGCGGCAGTTGATTAAGTATCTAGTTGTCACATTGCGGCAGTTGATTAAGTATCTAGTTGTCACATTGCGGCAGTTGATTAAGTATCTAGTTGTCACATTGCGGCAGTTTATTGCTAAGTTGATTGTCACATTGCGGCAGTTGATTAAGTCACATTGCGGCAGTTGATTAAGTATTTAGTTGTCACATTGCGGCAGTTGATTAAGTATTTAGTTGTCACATTGCGGCATTGATAAAGTATCTAGTTGTCACATTGCGGCAGTTTATTAAATATCTTGTTGTCACATTGCGGCAGCTGATAAAGTATCTAGTTGTCACATTGCGGCATTGATAAAGTATCTAGTTGTCACATTGCGGCAGTTTATTAAGTATCTAGTTGTCACATTGCGGCAGTTGATTAAGTATCTAGTTGTCACATTGCGGCATTGATAAAGTATCTAGTTGTCACATTGCGGCAGTTTATTAAGTATCTAGTTGTCACATTGCGACAGTTTATTAAGTATTTAGTTGTCACATTGCGGCAGTTTATTAAGTATCTAGTTGTCACATTGCGGCAGTTGATTAAGTATCTAGTTGTCACATTGCGACAGTTGATTAAGTATCTAGTTGTCACATTGCGGCAGTTGATTAAGTATCTAGTTGTCACATTGCGGCAGTTTATTAAGTATCTAGTTGTCACATTGCGGCAGTGGTCAGTGATTCCTCAGCGGATCCTTATTTTTATTTTAGGTGACGCAGCTGTAACAAAGAAGACATGTTTTAAATTTGACTCTAATGTAAATCTGTATTAAAAAACGAAATTCACTTGTGTTTCTTCTACATAATCCTTATTGTGTGGAAGTTACATTATCTGTCGGCCAGAAGTATAATATTTTTTTCAAAAGACGAAATGTTTCATAAAAAAATTAAACATATATCCTAAATTGTGTTATTATCATGGTTGTATACCATGTCAGACTTGTATTTTAGGCGTGCTTATAACGCGTGAGATTAATATTTGAATGGAATGTGTGAGAGGTATATGTGATAGTGTGTATGTATATGTTCTACAGATAACCATATACATCTGGTTTCATTTGAGTATGTGTGTAGGTCGGATGCATGTGGTTGTACACTGTAAACATAGTACATACATTTTCCTTTAACTCGTATTATCAGCTTTGTATAAGATGTAAGGTTTAGTTCAACAGTCTTCAGGGTTTGTCCACTTTTCTTTACTGTGATGATGTAGTCTCCCTTGAAATACATCTGGTTCTTGTAGGTTTTCAACTCAGCTGTCCAGTTAGTTCTCCAAACGTTGTTCACAAGGTCTACGTACTTCTCTCCGGCCTTGTTCAGCTACAACGATGATATTTTGATAGCGATGAATTAATTATATTGATAAATATTTTTCAGCATAGCAATTCATTTCTATCATATGTCTAATTCTACAGACTGAAAAACATTTAATTGAAATGATTTGAAGACAAATGTCGAACATTTACACAGTGTATCATACTATCATGTTTTTTAAGTATATAATTGAATATTTAATATCAATATGTCATTGTCGAACCTCGAAAGTCGACGTCAATATTGAATATCTGATAAACCTTTAAATGCACATGTTACAGGACTGACTACGTGGTATACATTTTGTGTAAGGCTTATGATACTAGAAAAGACCAGTTTAACACCAATCGCAGTAGAATAAGTTTCCACCAGTTTTCCACCAGTATCACTGTTACTTACAATAACATTATTTGGTTACTGTTTTATGCGTGATTATAAATGATGATCTACCCGTTTAAGATATCAGACCTTGAAGAATGGAGTTATGGAGTTATAACCCGTGGACACTTAAATGAGTTCCTGTCTATAACTCCCGCCTTACTTAACTGTGTACGGTTGCCATGAAAGAAACCCTTACTGTTATAAAGTGTTCATCCGTTACTGAAAAATAATTTCCACATTACCAAGTTATTTTGGTAAAGTTACTGTGATAAATGTTTCGCCTGTTGCCAGTGTAATCGAACTGCATTGAGCTTTAGCCCGTTTCAAGCGCATTTTTGAGAATCTTGCTGATGTAGTATTTCATGCGTTACCGTAAAAATCTTGGTTGATTGTTGCTAACTTTTAATTCGCACGTCTGTAACATTACTTTTGAATGACAATTTCGCTCCATGTCAGTTGATTGTGACAATTCTGCCGTATACTGTTAAAAATCTTTGCTGTTATAGAAATTTTGGCGTGTTGCTAGAATATTGTTGAGAACATTACCGATATAAATTTTCGTCTGTTAGAGATTTCGCCAGAAGCTAGTGTAACAGTGATATCCTCACCAGGACACCGTTGAGACCGTTGAAAGTGTACAGTTGAAAAATCTTACAGTTATAGAGTTCCTCGTTGTCAGTATAACGTTGACAACCTTACCGTTATAGAATTTTCGCCTGTTGCCAAGGAATTGTCGACGTTGTAAATAGCCCCTGACCAGAAACCCCACAGCAACACACCCTTCACCATCTTGTGGCTGAAGTAAAGACTAAGAGCAACTTCGATCGCCTGGGCTTTAGCGGTATCGTTAGCGTCTGTAACAGACATCTCCGTGACCCAGATAGGAAGACCTGCTTCTGCAATCTTATCCAAGCGATACTGAAGAAATAAGTATAGTGAATTTAATACATGGAACACATGTTCATGACAATGCTCTGGTTTTAATCAATGTCGATCAAAATAATGCAAAGATCATTATTCAGAAAGGTGCATTTTTAGCTATTTTCGAGGATAGATAGAAAAGGCGTTAGATAGTTACCTACCTTGAAATAAACGCAATCAATTCCATAACTTCCGTGAAACTACAACCTTATCGGTTTAAGTGTTTGGTAAAACTGCATAGTATAATAGAATATTAGGTATTTACATATAGATGATCAATTTCAATCTTATATCTGAACAATAGATACATAGAACGGAGTTTTGGGGTGGATATCCATTCAGGAGTCAGATTTAAATCTTCCTTAATACCAATCAGCCCACCTTGAGTTGTGTGATGTCGATGTCGCTTGACGGTAGGTGGCTCTGTACCCCAATTCCATGGAGTGGCACTTGGGCGTCCAGGAATCTCTTCGCCTGATTGGTTATAGCCTTCATGATGAAAATTCTTTTAGTACGACAAATTACACTGATATGTCTTCACAAGGACTGCAATGTAGATAACTCTTACAGAAAGCATGATGGAAAAAAATGTTATTTTCTAATTTGAGAAAACCCAAACATTGAGGTTATATTTCTGATACAGGATACAAGATAGATGCCATCAAAAACAGAAAAGGAAAGATAAAACACGTTGGTTCACTTTGATTAATGATTATTATCATGCTTAGAAAAGGGAAATTGGGTTACGATGACGAAAATCATAACAGGCTTATGGTTATATCAAATATTAAAATCAAAAGAGGAAATAAAACAAGGACATATTCATCAAGATGCCCCGCCCATGTTCATTTGTAAAACATATACAGTTAAAGGGAGAAACATGGAAAACTGTAGAATTGAAACCATTTACTGTTTATGTTAAGTTTGAAGTTCTGTTGGAAGTGACCAATATAATAACAATGTAGTAGCATAATACTGTGAATAGTAAAATCAGCTTATCATACCTTCATATTCCCTTCTTTAACCCAATGGTAATTATAACATATTTGTCACTTAATTTCAGTGATGCTGGACCAATAAATGATTCTATTACCGCTCAAGTATGACAAGAGACGGAAATGGTTTATACACATTAAAAAAAATACAATACAGCATCCAATCGTCAGATATGTAAAATTGCAAGAAAGTTACTATCAGTAAAACAAATCACAACCAGTGTGAGTGCAGCATCACTTTGAACATTAGACTTCTAAAAAATGTTTTGGAGATTCATCATCATTGGTCATCACTATCATGGATCTTTTTTATTGTTCTGTTTCTTATCATTATTAACTTATTCCTCCATGGTTTTGTGGCGTCTAAACTTTCGAATCAGTAAGAGATATGTGTATAGCCTATTATTATTATTTCAGAAGTTATTCGGTGAAAAACAATCCGTTATTCATGTCACAGCTGCCTCATTAGATATTGGTGGAATCAGCTGATAAACAAACTTAAGAGAGTGGTTAAGGTACATAGTCTGCTAAGCAAGTTTCATAAAAAATCATATGCCAGAAGTGTGTTAAGCTACCCTCAAGACTGTTTCAAGAAATCAGCAAGTCGGGTAAGAACACTATGATTAGATATGCATGGAATTTACGGTTGATCGAACTTGACTGAGAAGAGTATGTAATGAGTTTACCAAGCAAGTCTCCTCAAAATCCATTTATTCCTTCAAAAGATAACATGCGGAAAACATTCAGTAAGGATGCTAAAATATATCAGCCGATCAGGTCACAGAAACCTCAGCAACAAGAGATAAGCCAGTTTCCTAAAAAATCTTATCATCATTCCACCGTAGGATAATGTAAAAAAGATTTCCCATAGTGATTAAAGAAATCGGCCAATCAGGTCACAGCAGCCTAATTAGATATGTGCGGCATTCGCCGTTAAACAAACTGGGGTGAGGGATTAAGGTAACAAGTGCACCGACCAAGTTTCATAAAAATTCGACCAGTCCTTCAAAAGATATGCGAAAAACAGCATCGGGACGGACGGGATCCATTTGAATACCCCTCCCCCCACTCCACCGCCGCCCGCCACCGTTGTTGTGCAGGGGATAAAATGTTATTAGATAATCATTCACAGGAGTATAGATCCATTCTATAAAGCAAGGCAATGATACGACGTTATTTTGGTGCCTGTTCACATATGTAATGTACAATATTTGCCCTTGGCATCAGATCACCCACATTTTATTCTAACATAAATCATATACATGACTGTTATTTCCCCAGCTTTTCCAGTAAGTAACTTTCAGTCTAAAAGATGTGATTTTATCTTTTATTGACAATGAATAATCATTATTTCACTTAAATGATGGTATTGGGAGGAAGCGTTGGTGTGGTGAGCTAAAATGTATGGAACAGGTATTGAGAAAATCACAATAAACAAGCCTGTTTATCCTACCGTTGTATACGCCGCTTTGTTGACCACGGCAAAGTCGTTGAGAAAGAGCTTTGTGTCCGGTTCCGCCTTGTGCATCTTCCGGAACATATCCATGGTGATGTCTAAGCTTTCGGTCTTCCTCTCGAAAAAGTCGCCGTGAAGGGCTTCGTTGTTTACATCCCAGTGGACAAGTCTAAAATATGGATAAGAACAATTTGAAATTGAACAAATGATATATATATATATCATAATATTAGAGTCAGATATGAGGGTTTCATTGTCACATATCAAGTAATGCACTTTATACAACATGATCATGATATTTGTACACAGAATCCTGACGAATTCCAAGCGTGAAATAAAGAAATATATTAACAACGATTATGTAGTCTTTTACCACTGTAGTTTTGTAAGTACCTTCCTTTAGTTAGGTTGATAGTTTGAGAGATTCGGTCGTCTATGGTTTTCTGCATTACATCTATGTCTGTAATACCCTGTACCCAGTTCGGCACCCTTTTCTCCACAGCCCAAAACATGTTGTGACCACGAACTAAAAATCTGCAGTAAAGAAACATTTTGTGTTATTTGCAACCTTCTTTAACAAAACATTGTATGCTTTTGCTGCATTGACATTCGCGAACACTTTCTAAAATATGTCAAAAGGACCATTTCAGTCGGAATGAAACTCAAGCTCGTCTTGTATGGCAAAGCAAAAATTAAAATTGGCCACTTACCCATTACTTAGCAGATCATCTATAGTAGCATTCGCTTCGTCGAATTTTAAATTTCCCTGTAAATAGTCAAAACATTTAAGAACCAATACACAATACATGTAAATCATGTACATCAGTAATATTAAATTACATTCTATAAATACGTGATGTTGGCGTAAACAACGACGTGCATTAATTAAACATTTTGTGACTTGTTTTTAATGATACCTGAAATAATGAATTATCTGCCCCTGTCATAGTATGACATATGCCCACATATGTATTTATACGTCACGTACGTCAATATTGTGTCATTGAAAGTTTCTTTGAATAATGACAAATGAGTTTGAATTTGTTGCTCTTGTTTTACTCCCGTAATAAAGAAATATTTACAAATGCCCTCAAAAAAAAAACCCTACCGAACCAATATTTGCAAATATCGATATTCAGCATGCAGTTGGTGATTAGGAACATGAAACTACTTTTACTTTCGATATATGTATATCTGAACGACGTACAGCAACAATGAAGACACGTGATATATTCACCTTTGTCCACTCCATGCCCCTCCACTTTAGGGCATTCTCTATGACAGCCCATTCCGATTTCAATGTGTTGTTTACAAAGTCTCGATAAAATTGGTAAGATGCGTCTGTCCACAGGCTAGCTTTGACTGCAGTGCCATGTCCAAACTCACTTCGTTTTTGTTCAACCTACCATAGAAATATTCAATGATTTACAAATGTAAGCACTGGGTATTGATAATTGGTTATGACACACGCACTTCAAGAAACATATATAAACCTGTACATTGTTGATATGTTATAAGCGATAGCTGACCTACATTATTAATCAACCTTCAGATAATGGACCTAAGACATAACCCCTGTCTTTGTAAGTTCACGAACGTACCTCTATAGTGAAATCCTGAAGAGAAATGCCTCCGGGGTTACGGGTCCTAAAGTGAAGACTTCTTTAATGATTAATTCAATAATTTTATGTGAATTCGGAGAGTAAATTAGATTGTTACAAACAAAAACTTTATCACAAAATCAATATTTGGCGTAAATATAATTTAATTGTAATATAATTAGAATATAGAATAACACGAGGAAAAATATGCTCGCAGATTGAGATAGCTTCAGGATAGGTTGGGGATTCTCTGTAACCTTCCTGCACTATAGTTATGATACCATCATACCGGTTTAATATTCTTTCATTCCATGTTGAAAAGCATGAAAGTCATTGAAATTTAGGGTTAGTCCACTGCTTTACCTAGTACTTGATATTTACATGTATGGATTCATTATTTAGCTGTTTCTTGTTCTAATTTGTATCCAAATGTCACATTAACTTGTGTAACGACAATTCTCAACATTTTCCCCTGTGATTGGTGCCAGATCTATAATGACTTACAAAATATCCATTTTGACCTTTCGATTGTTATCAATGGTGTTGCTGACCGTTGTTTTCCAGTTGGGATCTGGTGTTAGCTCTTCAAGGCTTCCATCATCAAAGAAGTAGTTGACCCCACTTTCTTCTATCTGCACATATATCCTTATTTCTTTTAGATCTAAAATATTAATGAAAGAATAAACCTAACCGCTATGAAGTTTGAAGTCCCCTCCTATTTCTAACCAGGATCCCAACACGGCTGAACTTACCGCTAGGAAGATTGAAGTCCCCTCCTATTTCTACCCAGGATCCCGACACGGCTGAACTTACCGCTAGGAAGTTTGAAGTCCCCTCCTATTTCTACCCAGGATCCCGACACGGTTGAACTTACCGTTAGGAAGTTTGAAGTCCCCTCCTTTTTCTACCCAGGATCCCGGCACGGCTGAACTTACCGCTATGAAGTTTGAAGTCCCCTCCTTTTTCTACCCAGGATCCCGGCACGGCTGAACTTACCGCTATGAAGTTTGAAGTCCCCTCCTATTTCTACCCAGGATCCCGGCACGGCTGAACTTACCGCTATGAAGTTTGAAGTCCCCTCCTATTTCTACCCAGGATCCCGGCACGGCTGAACTTACCGCTATGAAGTTTGAAGTCCCCTACTATTTCTACCCAGGATCCCGACACGACTTAACTTACCGCTAGGAAGTTTGAAGTCCCCTACTATTTCTAACCAGGATCCCGACACGACTTAACTTACCGCTAGGAAGTTTGAAGTCCCCTCCTATTCTAACCAGGATCCCGACACGACTTAACTTACCGTTAGGAAGTTTGAAGTCCCCTCCTATTTCTAACCAGGATCCCAACACGGCTGAACTTACCGCTAGGAAGTTTGAAGTCCCCTACTATTTCTACCCAGGATCCCGACACGACTTAACTTACCGCTAGGAAGTTTGAAGTCCCCTCCTATTCTAACCAGGATCCCGACACGACTTAACTTACCGTTAGGAAGTTTGAAGTCCCCTCCTATTTCTACCCAGGATCCCGGCACGGCTGAACTTACCGCTAGGAAGTTTGAAGTCCCCTCCTATTTCTACCCAGGATCCCGGCACGGCTGAACTTACCGCTATGAAGTTTGAAGTCCCCTCCTATTTCTACCCAGGATCCCGGCACGGCTGAACTTACCGCTATGAAGTTTGAAGTCCCCTACTATTTCTACCCAGGATCCCGACACGACTTAACTTACCGCTAGGAAGTTTGAAGTCCCCTACTATTTCTAACCAGGATCCCGACACGACTTAACTTACCGCTAGGAAGTTTGAAGTCCCCTCCTATTCTAACCAGGATCCCGACACGACTTAACTTACCGTTAGGAAGTTTGAAGTCCCCTCCTATTTCTAACCAGGATCCCAACACGGCTGAACTTACCGCTAGGAAGTTTGAAGTCCCCTACTATTTCTACCCAGGATCCCGACACGACTTAACTTACCGCTAGGAAGTTTGAAGTCCCCTCCTATTCTAACCAGGATCCCGACACGACTTAACTTACCGTTAGGAAGTTTGAAGTCCCCTCCTATTTCTAACCAGGATCCCAACACGGCTGAACTTACCGTTAGGAAGTTTGAAGTCCCCTCCTATTTCTAACCAGGATCCCGACACGGCTGAACTTACCGCCAGGAAGTTTGAAGTCCCCTCCTATTTCTAACCAGGATCCCAACACGGCTGAACTTACCGTTAGGAAGATTGAAGTCCCCTCCTATTTCTAACCAGGATCCCAACACGGCTGAACTTACCGCTAGGAAGTTTGAAGTCCCCTCCTATTTCTACCCAGGATCCCAACACGGCTGAACTTACCGTTAGGAAGTTTGAAGTCCCCTCCTATTTCTAACCAGGATCCCGACACGCCTGAACTTACCGCTAGGAAGATTGAAGTCCCCTCCTATTTCTAACCAGGATCCCGACACGGCTGAACTTACCGTTAGGAAGTTTGAAGTCCCCTCCTATTTCTAACCAGGATCCCAACACGGCTGAACTTACCGTTAGGAAGTTTGAAGTCCCCTCCTATTTCTAACCAGGATCCCGACACGGCTGAACTTACCGCTAGGAAGTTTGAAGTCCCCTCCTATTTCTACCCAGGATCCCGACACGGCTGAACTTACCGCTAGGAAGTTTGAAGTCCCCTCCTATTTCTAACCAGGATCCCGACACGGTTGAACTTACCGTTAGGAAGTTTGAAGTCCCCTCCTATTTCTACCCAGGATCCCGACACGGCAGAACTTACCGCTAGGATGTTTGAAGTCCCCTTCTATTCCTTCCGAGGATCCCGGCACGGCTGAACTTACCGCTATGAAGTTTGAAGTCCCCTCCTTTTTCTACCCAGGATCCCGGCACGGCTGAACTTACCGCTATGAAGTTTGAAGTCCCCTCCTTTTTCTACCCAGGATCCCGGCACGGCTGAACTTACCGCTATGAAGTTTGAAGTCCCCTCCTATTTCTACCCAGGATCCCGGCACGGCTGAACTTACCGCTATGAAGTTTGAAGTCCCCTCCTATTTCTACCCAGGATCCCGGCACGGCTTAACTTACCGCTATGAAGTTTGAAGTCCCCTCCTATTTCTACCCAGGATCCCGGCACGGCTTAACTTACCGCTATGAAGTTTGAAGTCCCCTACTATTTCTACCCAGGATCCCGACACGACTTAACTTACCGCTAGGAAGTTTGAAGTCCCCTACTATTTCTACCCAGGATCCCGACACGACTTAACTTACCGCTAGGAAGTTTGAAGTCCCCTACTATTTCTACCCAGGATCCCGACACGACTTAACTTACCGCTAGGAAGTTTGAAGTCCCCTACTATTTCTACCCAGGATCCCGACACGACTTAACTTACCGCTAGGAAGTTTGAAGTCCCCTCCTATTCTAACCAGGATTCCGACACGACTTAACTTACCGCTATGAAGTTTGAAGTCCCCTCCTTTTTCTACCCAGGATCCCGGCACGGCTGAACTTACCGCTAGGAAGTTTGAAGTCCCCTCCTATTTCTACCCAGGATCCCGGCACGGCTGAACTTACCGCTATGAAGTTTGAAGTCCCCTCCTATTTCTACCCAGGATCCCAACACGACTTAACTTACCGCTAGGAAGTTTGAAGTCCCCTCCTATTTCTACCCAGGATCCAGGCACGACACTGGGTTGCATACTCAAACTGTGATACTTCGATGTGTCTAAAGATACAAATAAAATATTTTATTAAAGTAGAGTGTTGAAGCGTGTGATATGTTTCAAATGTCAATCATATGAATTTATAACATGTTCTTTATAAGTAATGTCCATGGAGAAAGTCCTATTTTTTCGCACTTTTAGCACTATGAACTACCTTCGGATACTGCGACAGCCGTTTTTTTTTTTTTTGGCGCAGATCAGTATCTATCATTGATGTAAATCTAGTTTTTAATACTTACCGTTATTAAACGTTTGTCTCACAATCACTTGAACAGTGTGGCTTGAGAACCCTGGAGCCAGGTTCTCCAATTTGATGTATCCCGAAAAGACATAAATTAACCCTGAGGCAATACCATCACTTAAAATGTATCCAAGACCAGCCCATTTCGCCGCTCTTATCCCAGAAATGAAGAAAAAAGTACAGACATAGTTGTTAATTACTTTAATCAGTGTTACTTATTGTTAGGAGGAATTGTTACATCTGTATCGCTAAACATATTTTACTTATAAATTTATATCATTGTTCTACTGTAAACGATATCTATCATTAAAATACAAAATACCTTGAGGTGATGTGAACACTCTGCGCTCCTCCACGTTTCTCCGTCGTACTAATGGCCCAGGAACATCCCGATTTACTCCAGTGGGTACCTAGGGTAGCCGACTCAAAGTCACCATTCCCCAGTAAGTTAGTACCAGCCACATCCAATACAAAAGTCCCCAACAGGAGGAACTGGGAAATTGATGAAGTCATCCGTCTTGTTTGGTGCAACAAACAACTGTGAATGTGAGTATGACAGTTACGCGATTCATATAAAGGGTTGAAATACGTCGCTTGAATAAGACTATTGTCATCGCAAGACTTCGTCTTGAGGGTACGTTGATTCAGTACATAATTCCATACAGCATGCTTAGACTACATTCAAGCTTGAGGGGACCCTTGACCTGTGATAAGGTTAATGACGCACATGAACTGATCACGCGAACCCCTGAGGCAATATCAAATGACCTCTTGTTGAAATTGTATGTATGAAATACCTGTAAACATCCAATATATGTGTTTTGTGCCGAAAAGAAATGGTGGTTAACGTGATATGATATATCTTACCGAAGTATAACATGTGTTTAAGACTGGAGTTTCTAGATTCAATATCTTATATAGTTCCTTCTGAACTGAAACTAGCTATCAAGACTAGATAAAATATAATACGCTCACAAAGATATCTTGTAGAGAGAGAGAGAGAGAGAGAGAGAGAGAGAGAGAGAGAGAGAGAGAGAGAGAGAGAGAGAGAGAGAGAGAGAGAGAGAGAGAGGGGATGAAACAGCGGTGTGATATAGCATCACTGACGAGTAGTAGAAGTACGAAACAGTGGATAGATGCAGCTGAAATATTTCCATATTGTATTTAATACTGATTTTGTTTTGAAAGGAACTTATTGCTTCTATCACAGAACGAACTTGCCTGGCCATTCTCAGTTAAATTATAAATTATCGTAGTCGTAAACGTCTTGGCAAAAACAATTTGTAACTTTTCGAGTGATAGATGTATTAGTATGTTGGCTTTCTATCTCCCTCTTTTTTTGTTGATGTCCATTTCTACCGTCGTTTGATTTTGTATCTCATAGACATGATCGTTTTGTTATTTCAAAAAGCATAAGCTTTTATATTAAAACTCAAACAGAAGTTGTTTGATTAAATATATATTTTATTGATCGGAAAGGAAACGGTTAAAGTGTTAAGTATATAATAAGATATAGTTAGATATGATATGTATACATGTAGCAAATCAAAACAAACTATGTTTGATATTACATGTTATCATAACAAAGCGGTATGTTCTTTTACAGCATTCAGTTATACCTCATAAACACCTATAATGAGCATTAACAACAAGTTGTAACAGATACCGTTATTCACACTATCCCTGCTATCGCAAAAGCAATGCTAACTTAGAAGAAGAAACTAGCTCAATTCTGCTCAACTGCTAAACCTATCTTCACTAGTAGACCTCTAGTATACATACTCTAGAGCAGAGATGCAGTCATCCTTGACTCAGGTAAACCATGGCCAGTCAGCAGACTCTACCAACATAGACAAGGGAGAGCCTTTTGCATACATAATGAACATTATTGAACTTTCAAAGTTTAAACGCTTGTGGCGGCCATGTTTATTGTTCGATCAAAAATACCTTTGTGTACTTTATATTACATCACAACTATGTCTTAATTTTCATCAAAATTGGGCATTTAAATTTCAGTTGCTGCAGCGACCATCTTGGATCTAAGGCAAAATGTCTCAAATATATGTTGACAAGATTATCACTATCAACACCAAATTTCGTTTCAATCTGACCAACGGTTGTTGAGTTATAACCTGTTATATTTTAACCAGTCAGAGCCTCTTGCATTATATGATGTTCGGTCGAAAAAAGAACAGACGAACGCACAACTAAGTACAGTTATCAGCGCTCCTTCGGTTTTCGAGAATTGTGTCGGACAGAGCGCGACGCAACAATGAAAATAATTATTAGAAATGCAATTACGAGCAACAGCGGAAGTCATCCCAATCTCCAACCATTCCTCGTCCTTCACCGGCAATCATTGAAGTTAGGTGCACAACTACACAGCATAGTGATCATTTTTGATGAGAATCCATTGGGTAATTTCTGAGAATAGCCGCGGACAAAAACGGCGGAAGAATAATAAGAAGAAAGATACTAAATTTTATGTTAATGACCGTAGTGAATGAAAACAGGTGATCTGAGAACATCATGACTAAGTAAGACGAGCTATCTACACGGGACAAGGTGCAAGGTTTACTTGCCGAAATATTAGTAAAAGTAAGACACCCATCAATCCATTCAACGCCAACATGTTTACAAAATCGGTCAGCATCCGATGTGCCTTTGAAAGAGTCAATATTGCAAAGCTTCTCAGAGATCATGCTCAAAATATAAACTCTTTAATCATAAATTTAATATAGAGTTTTTACTGTTTGTTTTTTTTTATATTTATCACATATTTGAGATAATACTATTTTAGTTCGAAATCATGTCAAAATGTCGTCTGCATCGTAGCTTGCGGCCTAGGTCATTCATACACAAGATGGTGGCGTCCATGTGCAATAGTTATTTGGCAACAGATCGCCAAATGGAGGCACAATTCACATAGAGGTATCGAACATGAAATAGTTTAAACGATATGACCGGTTATGACTTCAAGGTTCGACGCTCAGCTGGAACATTTTTCATTTTGTTTTTCTCTGATATTTTAATATATGGACAGATGAATATATAAATCATGTACGTATTATCGCGTCCTACCACATAGTATTATCCATTTTTATTTTTATGAAATGTTTCAGTCCTACCACTGTGTGATGTGTCAGATGACTCCAATGATATATGGTTATACATAAATGCTTACTACCAGTTAACTTATAATAATAATGAGAAAAAAACGGAGTAAACACGATAAGTTCCCCACTTGCAGGACTTAAAAAATGAAAATCTCTATAAACATTCTAAAAAGGAGCACTATAGTTTACATAGTTTTCACTATTTAAATGTAATACATATCTTAGAGAAAAAACGAATGGAGTTGACAAATACATCAAAGTAAAAATATATATTTCATTTTATAGTATTCATAGAAATGAAAAGAGAAATACTTCTTGTTATTATATCGAAATCACCAACACTACTAGACAGCTGGACTTTTTATGAAATTATTTTCTCTGTGTTCTGCCTCTCCCATAGGTGACCTGATGGTCTGAAATTATTTTCTCTGTGTTCTGCCTCTCCCATAGGTGACCTGATGGTCTGAAATTATTTTCTCTGTGTTCTGCCTCTCCCATAGGTGACCTGATGGTCTGAAATTATTTTCTCTGTGTTCTGCCTCTCCCATAGGTGACCTGATGGTCTGAAATTATTTTCTCTGTGTTCTGCCTCTCCCATAGGTGACCTGATGGTCTGAAATTATTTTCTCTGTGTTCTGCCTCTCCCATAGGTGACCTGATGGTCTGAAATTATTTTCTCTGTGTTCTGCCTCTCCCATAGGTGACCTGATGGTCTGAAATTATTTTCTCTGTGTTCTGCCTCTCCCATAGGTGACCTGATGGTCTGAAATTATTTTCTCTGTGTTCTGCCTCTCCCATAGGTGACCTGATGGTCTGAAATTTGTTTCTCTGTGTTCTGCCTCTCCCATAGGTGACCTGATGGTCTGAAATTATTTTCTCTGTGTTCTGCCTCTCCCATAGGTGACCTGATGGTCTGAAATTATTTTCTCTGTGTTCTGCCTCTCCCATAGGTGACCTGATGGTCTGAAATTGTTTTCTCTGTGTTCTGCCTCTCCCATAGGTGACCTGATGGTCTGAAATTATTTTCTCTGTGTTCTGCCTCTCCCATAGGTGACCTGATGGTCTGAAATTATTTTCTCTGTGTTCTGCCTCTCCCATAGGTGACCTGATGGTCTGAAATTATTTTCTCTGTGTTCTGCCTCTCCCATAGGTGACCTGATGGTCTGAAATTATTTTCTCTGTGTTCTGCCTCTCCCATAGGTGACCTGATGGTCTGAAATTATTTTCTCTGTGTTCTGCCTCTCCCATAGGTGACCTGATGGTCTGAAATTATTTTCTCTGTGTTCTGCCTCTCCCATAGGTGACCTGATGGTCTGAAATTTGCTCAGATATATTAAAATATAATTCTATTTGTTTTTATTTGTTAACATCATCATTGTCAGTATACACTGTTTGTGTCTACATCACATGTAGGGCGATATCTTTATTGTATATAATTATGTCTGTCTCTACATCACGTGTAGGTCGATATATTTATTGTATATAATTGTGTCTGTCTCTACTTCACGTGTAGAGCGATATCTTTAATGTATATAACTATGTCAGTGTCTACATCACGTGTAGGTCGATATCTTTATTGTATATAATTCTGTCTGTCTCTACATCACGTGTAGGACGATACCTTTATTGTATGTAATTATGTCAGTGTCTACATCACGTGTAGGGCGATATCTTTATTGTATATAATTATGTCAGTGTCTACATCACGTGCAGGTCGATATCTTTATTGTATATAATTATGTCTGTCTCTACATCACGTGCAGGTCGATATCTTTATTGTATATATCTGTTAGTGTCTACATCACGTGTAGGTCGATATCTTAATTGTATATAATTATGTCTGTCTCTACATCACGTGCAGGTCGATATCTTTATTGTATATAATTCTGTCTGTCTCTACATCACGTGTAGGGCGATATCTTTATTGTATATAATTATGTCTGTGTCTACATCACGTGTAGGGCGATATCTTTATGTATATAATTCTGTCTGTCTCTACTTCACGTGTAGGGCGATATCTTTATTGTATATAATTATGTCTGTCTCTACATCACGTGTAGGGCGATATCTTTATTGTATATAATTCTGTCTCCGCTACATCACGTGTAGGACGATATCTTTATTGTATATAATTCTGTCTGTCTCTACATCACGTGTAGGACGATATCTTTATTGTATTTAATTCTGTCTCCGCTACATCACGTGTAGGACGATATCTTTATTGTATCTAATTATGTCTGTGTTTACATCACGTGTAGGGCGATATCTTTATGTATATAATTCTGTCTGTCTCTACATCACGTGTAGGGCGATATCTTAATTGTATATAATTATGTCTGTCTCTACATCACGTGCAGGTCGATATCTTTATTGTATATAATTATGTCTGTCTCTACT